TAGAGTTATAAGTTTTTGATTTTGGTTTTTATGTTTCTGAAATATGTCAATTTTTGTGTTTGTTCTTGACGTGATCTTTTGTGTTACAATTTTTGTCTTCATTTTTCAGGACACTGTGTGGCTAGTTAATTCATCTTGATGTGTTCATTGTTGTTTTATTCATCAGTTCTACTGAGTTAGCGATCATTGCGGAAGCGGATTTTCTCGGTGGTACTACTTTGTCCGAAAAAGGTATCGTTACAAATTGGTAGTTTCCACTAGCTTCTGGTCTCGGCTACTGAATTTTTCTTCAGTTTTGACAACCAAAAAAAAACAGTCACAAATTTTTTGCGTTGTTAATGTGTTAATGCGTTGTTGGTATGCTGACGGTTCATGGGAAAACTAAGTATTTGATTTTGGTTTTTATGTTTCTGAGATATGTCTTTTTTTTGTGTTTGTTCTTGATGCGATCTTTTGTGGTACAAGTTTTTTTTTCATTTTTCAGATTACTGTGCGGCTAGTTAAGTCATCCTGATGTGTTCATTGTTGTTGCATTCATCAGTTCTACTGGGTAAGCTATCGTTGCAGAAGAGGATTTGCTCTGTGATAATTTTTTGTCCGAAAAAATTGTCACAATTTGGTAGTTTCCACTAGCTTCTGGTCTTGGCTATTGAATGTTTCTTCAGTTTTGACATCTTTGAAATACACAGCGACAATTTTTTTAGTTGTTAAAGCGTTGTGGGCATGCTGGTGGTTCATAGAGTAATAAGTTTTGATTTTGGTTTTTATGTTTCTGAGATATGTCATTTTTGTGTTTATCCTTGATGCGATCTTCTGTGGTACAAATTTTTTCATTTTCCAGGACAATGTGGCTAGTTAAGAAGTGTTGATGAGTTCATTGTTGTTCCAATCATCAATTCAACTGGGTTAGCGATTTTTGCAGAAGCGGATTTGCCCTGTGGTGATTTTTTGTCCGAAGAAAGTTGTCGTCACAAATTGGTAGTTTCAACTAGCTTCTGGTCTTGGCTACTGAATGTTTCTTCAGTTTTGACATCTTTGAAAAACACAGCGATATTTTTTTTGGGTTGTCAATGCTTTGTGGGTTTGCTGACAGTTTTTGATTGTAAAATTTTGTTTTTTGTGTAAAAGTTTAGTATAGTGTAAAAATTGATATTTTTGCATTCGAGTAGTTATGAATTTGGATCAAAAATCATATCATTGAACATTAATTACGTATGTGTTGAATATTTTCTGTTTTCTCGCACGTGTAAAATTTTGCTTTTTATAGGAAATGAATTTTTGCTGATGACAGAACTTGCGGATCACAACTGGAGTATGTATGCTTGGAGAACGTTTCCATCAGGAAAACAGGTTTTTTGGCGTTTGAGACAACTCCTCCCTTATGGTTTTGGTTCATCTAGGAGTAGGCTTAGGAAATTTTTGCTCTCTCAAGAGTTGAGGAAATTTGCCTACAGATAATAAAGAGTTTGAGGTTCCAACCTCTAAAACCCTATGATTTTTCTGTTCGTTCTCTTCTCTGTTCAGAGATTGCACGTCTTATGGGTAAGTTTAAACGCTAATTGAGCCTCATTTGAGTTTCCAAAAACGCTTATCTTACAATTTCCATATATGAAAAAATGCTTATCGTACAATTTCCATAAATGAAAAATGCTTGTCTTACAATTTCCATTAATGATAAAATGCATATATTACAATTTCCATTTATGAAAAAATGTTTGTCCTACAATTTCCATATATGAAAAAATGTTTATCCTACATCTTCCATATATGAAAAAATGTTTGTTGTACAATTTCTATATATGAAAAACGCTTACCATAGAGTTTCTTTTAACAATTTTCTGAGTCAATGGTTCTAAAAAATTGTAGGACAAGCATTTTTTTATATATGGAAATTGTGAGATAAGCATTTTTGGTCAACTCACGCTAAGATGCGGTTGAAATACTTTCTACATTTTAAAAAAAAGTGCTTAACCGTTTTCAAATCAAGCAGAAATTTTTTCGATGTCTTGACCAAAAACAATGTGAGCGACTTTTTTCAAATGCTCGAGCAAAATAACCACTCGAAAATATGTAAAATTTGAGCGGTTTGAGCGGTTTTTTAGACAATTATGCTGAAAATCTTGCTTCAAATTGAGCGGTTTGAGTGCTTTTTGAACGGTTTATCTCAAAAAACCGCTCCAAAACCGCGCAAATTTTGAGCGGTTTTTTTAGACAATTACGCTCAAAATCTTGCTTCAAAATGAGCGGTTTGAGCGGTTTTTTAGACAATTACTCTTAAAATCTTGCTTCAAAATGAGCGGTTTGAGCGGTTTTTGAACGGTTTATCTAAAAAAACCGCTCATAAACCGCGGAAGATTTGAACGGTTTTGAGCGGTTTATCTAAAAAAACCGCTCAAAAACCGCTCAAATCTTGCGCGGTTTTCAAGCGGTTTTTTTAGATAAACCGCTCAAAACCGTTCAAATCTTGCGCGGTTTTTGAGCGGTTTTTTAGATAAACCGTTCAAAAACCGCTCATTTTGAAGCAAGTTTTTGAGCGTAGTTGTCTAAAAAAACCGCTCAAACCGCTCAAATCTTGCTTCAAATTAGGTGAAAAATCTCGACTCGCGTACTGACCCGGTTCAGGTTCGATACAGGTCTCACGTTGGATTATAGGACATTGAATTCTGTCTTCCGGTAATTGGAGAATTAATTTTGCCTCGATGTTGTTGCATACATAAGGCAAATTTGAAAATTTGAGTTCGGCTTGTTTCGGGTAATTGTTCTCGGGACCTTGGAAAACATTCCTTGAGAAATACCGTCCTGTTAAGTAGAATGATTCCTCCGCTTTTGATGCTGGTTATAAATCTGCTTCGGGGGGGGGGTAGCAATAAATGTCAGTGTATGCAGTTTGCGGTCATCTTTTGTCACAGTTATAGTTACTGAGTTTGTCATCTTCTGTTGCATTGTTGTGGGGAATTGTTTCAGTATACCGGAAGAACAACTTCGATATGCTTTTGCCAGATTTTCGGCTGACTTGACAATTTCTTTCGAGAATGGGGGGATGATTTTGATTATTTGGATTTGTTTTGTTTCTTCCGTCGATTTGTTTGCTGTAAGCGCATTTCAGAATTTTGTCTACGTTCCATTCAGCACTTCATGATTGATTGGTAGCTGAGTTTCCGTTAATTGTTTGTGGCTCATGACTTAGTTTTACTCGAGTGGGCAAAAAAGCTTTCTCCGGGATATACTTGAAAAAAGTAGTTTTTTTCTCTTTCAAAATACAGAAATGAGACGGCAAAAATATGTTTCATTTTTTTGAAATTCTGAATTAATTTTTTTTAGTTGAGAGTTTCATAATCAATATGTACATCAAATAACATCATGTTTATCGAAAACAACTCATCGAGTTAGTAATCTAATTGTTGAGACAAGAAACTGCTTATAAATTGCTAAGAGCTTGTCTAGATAGTTTCTAAGCTGTTTCTGTAAATTTTTTGAATACTGGGTGTCCTGATCGCAAACGCAAACTGTTTTTTGTTCTTTCTGTGACTTGTGTTTATTTTACATTTTTTTAGTACCGGCTGTAGATCTTGCGCGGTTTTCAAGCGGTTTTTTTAGATAAACCGCTCAAAACCGTTCAAATCTTGCGCGGTTTTTGAGCGGTTTTTTAGATAAACCGTTCAAAAACCGCTCATTTTGAAGCAAGTTTTTGAGCGTAGTTGTCTAAAAAAACCGCTCAAACCGCTCAAATCTTGCTTCAAATTAGGTGAAAAATCTCGACTCGCGTACTTACCCGGTTCAGGTTCGATACAGGTCTCACGTTGGATTATAGGACATTGAATTCTGTCTTCCGGTAATTGGAGAATTAATTTTGCCTCGATGTTGTTGCATACATAAGGCATATTTGAAAATTTGAGTTCGGCTTGTTTCGGGTAATTGTTCTCGGGACCTTGGAAAACATTCCTTGAGAAATACCGTCCTGTTAAGTAGAATGATTCCCCCGCTTTTGATGCTGGTTATAAATCTGCTTCGGGGGGGGGGGGGGGTAGCAATAAATGTCAGTGTATGCAGTTTGCGGTCATCTTTTGTCACAGTTATAGTTACTGAGTTTGTCATCTTCTGTTGCATTGTTGTGGGGAATTGTTTCAGTATACCGGAAGAACAACTTCGATATGCTTTTGCCAGATTTTCGGCTGACTTGACAATTTCTTTCGAGAATGGGGGGATGATTTTGATTATTTGGATTTGTTTTGTTTCTTCCGTCGATTTGTTTGCTGTAAGCGCATTTCAGAATTTTGTCTACGTTCCATTCAGCACTTCATGATTGATTGGTAGCTGAGATTCCGTTAATTGTTTGTGGCTCATGACTTAGTTTTACTCGAGTGGGCAAAAAAGCTTTCTCCTGGATATACTTGAAAAAAGTAGTTTTTTTTCTCTTTCAAAATACAGAAATGAGACGGCAAAAATATGTTTCATTTTTTTGAAATTCTGAATTAATTTTTTTTAGTTGAGAGTTTCATAATCAATATGTACATCAAATAACATCATGCGTAACGACACGACAAGCGTAAAACAACTTATCAATTTCTCCACCTTTTTTTTTGCACGTGCTTTTTATTTATACAATATACACGCGGTTATTATTTTATTACACATTTGTCCATTTATTGGATGTTTAATTTACTCTTTCTTCTTTCTTCTTCAACATCATGTTTATCGAAAACAACTCATCGAGTTAGTAATCTAATTGTTGAGACAAGAAACTGCTTATAAATTGCTAAGAGCTTGTCTAGATAGTTTCTAAGCTGTTTCTGTAAATTTTTTGAATACTGGGTGTCCTGATCGCAAACGCAAACTGTTATTTGTTCTTTCTGTGACTTGTGCTTATTTTACATTTTTTTAGTACCGGCTGTAGATAAACTGGGTGTTATTGCACTTTTTCAATCTAGAAATTTCGTTTCAAACAAACTCTCAATCTCATGTCTGCAATTTTGTTTGCTAGTCTCGACGAATCAACTTGGAGCAAAATTGCACAAACTTATTTATGATTTCTTCAAATGCCTTCTAATGTGATGTTATCAATCACAAAAATCGTTAAAGATCAGTGGAATGAAACATAAATTAACGCTGTTCCACATTACCTCAAGATATGCAGATTGCCTTCTTATTGCATCTGATCTTGATCAAGGTTTTATTTACTCTGGGCCAGGAATACGCAGATGACGATGAAGACCTTGTAGGATCAGGATCTGGGGATATACTTCCAGACGAACCAGGTATATTTCACATCTTTTGATTTTTTTCTGCGGACAAATTTCGACTACTGAAAATGTCATTTTAAGAAATATTCATCCTAAATTTATTGTTGCCCTGGCGTCAAATATAAAAAGATATTTCACCTGTGATTCTTTTCGAATAACTCAGGTGGTTTAAAGATTGCCAATTTAGCCCGTTTGAGACAATTTCTTGCGCGACACAACTCGTGCTATTGACGCGTAAGCTGATATGATATTTAATCCGTCACAGAAATCGTTTCAAATTGAAATGATGCATGCTATTTGGTGTATTCAAAAATTTGCTATATGCGAAAATATTTTTTGTAGTTTACATAGCGTGTGGGGGGTTGGATGTGTGAACGGCAAATAAGACGTTTCAAGCCCATTGCAACTGTTTTGATGGGACTTTTAAACAGCTTAAGTTCGATCTGCTCATTTTACGTAATAATGCTAATTTGTCTCTTAATATCTTGTCGTCTTAAAGGCCTGTCGTCTTATTTACTTGGCACCGGTTGGATAATTTTCAAAAATTTTTTATTTAATTTAATTTTAATTTAATTTTAATTTAATTTTTAAATTTAATTTTTAAATTTAATTTTAGTCAATTTTTGAAAATGAACTCTACTCCATTGACGTTAAAAGACAGTCGTAACATTCAGGGCTTTGCCCTGATACAAGCAGTTTTGTTTTATTGATCATGGAAACTCATTTTTATTTCGTTTTTGTAGGTGTTTGTGGTTATGGTTATATTGTGGACCCTAGTTTACCGCAGAGTTGCCTAAAAGGCGCAAAAGTTCATGTTGCAATGATATTTGACAAAGATTTCGACGACGAACTGTTGAACGAGGAGTCAGAGACATATAAACGAGAAAAAAGTTCATACGAAGAGACGGTTAGTTTTGCGTTTTTACTTTTAACTTTGAGATGTGTCTGACCATAATCGAAACCTGAAGAACTTTGTATTCGGACAGTTTTTCTCAGCTGATATTGACTACCCCAGAAAAAGCTCAAAAGACTTCAAGTGTTGCATCAATTTAAAGCCCATTAGCCGTAATATGGATTCCAATACAAATAATTCTAAATTCAAATTTGTAACCCAAAAACAAATAAACAGAAAAATTTTTTCAGTGGCGAGAAAAACTGGTCTGATATGTTTTTTTACTTTTTTAAACTAAATTACACGAGATTCACGCACCACAAGGATAACCTAGTGGTGCGCTAATTGCGCATCACTAGGTTATCCTTGTTTTCATTCAAATATAAAAAATTTTATGCTTTTTTGATTCAGGATTTGAAACCTCCACATGAAAGTAACAAAAAAATCAATAAAACGCGATTGTATTCTCTTTTTAGCTGTTCACAATATACAGTGGAACAATTGCCAATATTATATCTGTCAGAGTGACGGCTTTGAAACCAGGGTCAGTTATCGTTGAGCATGAAGTCAATCAATATCTCCAGGACAAAGTCGATTTGAGTCAGGCCACGACGAGATTAATTAACCAAGTTACAGAAATTGGGAGCGATCCAGCTACAAGAAAACATTTCCAAATTTCATCCGTTGAAGTGTTTCCTGTGAAAAGTGGGTATTTCTTTTGTTTTTTGAATGATACAAAATTGAGTCCGAAAAAACCTCTTTCTATTGACATTGAAATAAATTCTCCGGAAAAGGGAACGGGCTGCTCGGAGAAATTTTTTTTAAATACCAATTTTCGATTTCTGTTATCAATGATTGACTAAAACACTCAAAATGTTTCAAAATTTGCTTATCTTTTTAATGGAAAACGAAAAGTCTAGTTTCAAATTGAAACTATTTCCAGCACGCAGTCGATATTGAGCTTTAAATAATGCGGTTTACCGGGCTCCTGTAATTTTAGTTCTTTTTAAATAGCGATGCTCTCAACTATTTTACTACTGAAACATTTTCAGAAATCAGCTCAGCGTTCGTTACTGCTATGATGATGTATTCCATACTTGTTTTATCTAATTCTAGATGAGAAAAAAGTTCTAAATTGGAAACGTAAGTGAAGTTCGTTTAATCATTTAGCTTCATATGTTCTCTCATGATTGATGACTCAACCTTTTCCTTGCCATGAAATGATTGGATTTTGTGCGTTTCTTTTCATTGTTGGAGTTTCCAGTGTATTTCATGGTTACAATGGTACCAAAAACTAGCATTGTTTTACTTCATAATTTTTTTGGGTTTCTCTTCACACTCAGTGGTCAAGAAACTTCAAGCTTGATGGAAAAAAGTGTTTTAAATCAGATCGTTTTGTTTCCAAAATATATCTAAACCCTGTAATTTATGTTTATAAAATTCTATCAACCAGAATTACACCTTTTTCTTGATTCCTGTATTAATTATTGCAATTGGGCTCTAGACTTTTTTTTCCAGTAAACAACTTTGTCCACAGGACTCATTGGACTCATTAAACTGGTTCTTGGTTCATAATGAATTCAAAATTTGTATTGTCTCTCTTGCACACTTAGCCTGGTGGTAACGAATACGCCTGGGACGGCAAAGGTCCGTGGTTCGAATCTGACCAGGACCAGTTTTTTTCAAACAGCAATTGTTCCGGTTCAAAAAAGATTCAGCCTAATATTTGTCTGTTTTTGTTTTATCGGCTTAATTGCCACATCTAAGAATCGTTTCTTTTAGCTGTAAACAATTTTAACTGAAGTTGTTTTTAGCATTTTGAAAATCCGACCCAATCGAAATTTGCTTGTCACATTGGTTGTAATTTAACCAGCTCGATTTGTTATTTTTTTTTTCGTTTATTTATCGGTTTAATAAATTACGGCCTAAATAATATCAACTTAGTGGCTGTTTATTTCGTCGTTTCGCCCGAAAAAAATTTTTGTGCGCATGTGTGTGCTCTGACGGGAAAAGGGACTTGACATTTTCTTTAAGTTTAGATTTTTTCTGAGTCTCTTTTCGGCATGAAGGGTTTCTGCTCAGGTTTTTTCGGCTTTGTTACCGCTTGATAATTATAATTTCAAATCCAATCAACCATCCGGCGCTTTTGGCGAAGAGGTGAAACAACTGCTTGAGATGGCAAAGATTTGTGATTCGAATCCGGCCGGGCTTTTTTTTGCAAACAAGAGTTTTTGCGCTTTTTCGGATTATCATCCGTCTGTTCATTTTTGTCGGCTTAGTTCCCGTAGCTCTATGGTTCAGCTTTATTCCAAGTTGCTGTAACCCCCATGCTTGAGACGACAAAGATTTTTGCCTGTCTGCTTAGTTCCGCAAAAAGAACCTTTTGAAAACTTGGCTTCTTTATAGCATTCGCAAAGCTCTTTGTAGAGTTTCAACTGGACCTGGCAATTTCGCTCCGGATTTTTTGGGCTTCTTGCAATTGTCATTGACAAATACGATTTTTTGAATTTTTTCCATTTGATTTTTATAACATTCATATTTGTATCGCAAGGGGTACGAAGCTCAGCTTCGCCTCTGTCTAGATAATTGCTGGTAGCGCGAATCATTTTATGTCGTTTTTACGCTTTCTTTCGATTTGCTTATGTTGAGTGATGTTGAGGCGAGGGTTTCTAGATCTACTTTGAAATTGCTATTTTTGTGAGCTCATCCTTTTTTACTCTGAGTTTATGTGCTCTAGAGGGAGGAAACTTGTGCAGCCGGTGGGATAAGAACATTGTTCTTCCGACCGACCTAAGGCTTTTGCGAAGGAACTGTGGCTCAAAGAAAATTCGCAGGGATTCTAGAGTGTTTCCGTTTTTTAGACTAGATTACACAAAATTTACGTAGCAACACGATGACAGACTGAACTACTAGTTTAGGTCTGCATCAACATTAGTTTTTTATTCGACTTTTGAAGAAAGTGACGAAATATTTATGCTTGGTTTGGTTTTTTTTTATTCCGGCAAATTTCTGTTTTTAACTAAGCGTTTTCCTGAGCTCAAATATCAAGAGATTGTTTTCCTGTGATCTTTTTGCGTAAAGTTATGGGGATTTAAAATTGCCGATTTGGTGAATTTCGAATAATTAACACGCGATATGTTGCGTTCTTATAATACGCGTAAGTGGTGAATTAAATCATTTCAAATTGAACTGAGGCCAGCAAAATGGTTCTATTATAATGATACGAGCCACGAAATACATCCCTTAGTATTTTATTTAAAGCGTGAGCCTTTTAGGGGCAGTTGTAACATTCAAGGCTTTGCCCCTGAAATAGGAACAACCTTGCTTTAGCTCTAATTACCTTAAAACAAAAAAAGATATAAGATAAAATAGATTAGAAAATAAAACGAAAACAGATAATTTTGACAAAAAGTAGAAAAAACGTTGGAAAATCTTCTTTTTTTGTTCGACTTGTTTATTAATTTTTGATTTTAATTTTGCTAAACTTCTTTAGTCGGAGCATTTCGTGCTACTTGCACAGAAACCGGCTGTCTGTTTTTTTAAGGTTTTCAATTAATTATCAAAAATCAACTTGATTCCATTGAAGCAGCGAAGTTCGAAAAAACTTTTGAAAAACGCAATTGAAAAAAAATTTGGAAGAAGTAACCAACTTGTCTAAAATCTCGCAAGCAGCTGAAACGATTAAATAATTAGTTAAATTGATTGTTGACAAATCGACAAATTTTGGCTAGCCCTAATGATACGAGACTTGTCAAATGAAACAGATTTATTTACTTTAAATCATTCCAAATTTCGATAAATCATAAAATTATTAAATTACTACCTATATTGATTTTTGACAAAATGAAAATTTTGGCTAGTTCTAATGATATGAAACTTGTCAAATGAAACAGATTTAGGAACTTTACATAGAAAGAGTGATTTAGAGGCGAGATATTTTATGTAATCCTGGCTGGAACAAACCGCGCTTCCTTCCGAAATTCCTTCTCATTATAAAACAAAGCAAGAAGATAATTGAATTTTTTAAGGGATGTTTTCAACCATAACCTGCGGGTGGTTTTATAAACAAACCTTCAATAATGGTTTTTGAAGTCCCAAAAAACAAAAAGCGATGAAAAATTCAAAACTGTTGTATAAGTTTAATGTTGTTCAAAAACTCAACGAACCTTTAATAATGGTCTTTGAAGTCCTGAAAGACAAAAAAGCTTTGAAAAACTCAGATTTTTTTGAAAGCCCTTAAAAACAACATTAAACTTATAAAAAGGTTTTTTAAGTTTTTCATCGCTTTTTTTGGGATTTCAAAGACTATTACTAAAGATTTGTTTATGAAGGGACATGCAGTTTTTTTGATGATAAAATCTTTTAAGAAGTTCAATGATTTTGTTGTTTTTTTTTACGTCTGATGTTTGAGACAATTGTTATATCTATCGTTTCTGAATTGTTAATTGTTAAAGCTTGAAAAAAAGTCGAGGCTCACTAAAATCAACTTGTTGACCTTTTGTTTCTATAACAGTTGCTTTTTCTTTTTTGTCTATTTTTACCGCATATAATGTAAAGCCCAGCTTCACCTGTGTATCGAAAAGTAACGACAGGACTGCACTTTTGAGAACCGTTCGACTTGAAATAAATTTGGAATCGTTTTTGCTTATAATCTGCCTGGACAATTTTAAGAGTCAAAGAAATTGTGATACCGTGTACAATAAGCAGATTTTATCGGTTATTCGTAACAGCTTTGAAAATCTGCATGAATACAAAAATATCCTGCTCCAAGTTTATTATTTTAATCACAGTTTTTCACTTAGAACAATTACAATTAGCAAAAACAACACAAAAAGTTTAATAATGATTGTGAGTTTTAAAAACGGAACAAAAAAGTAATGAAAAAATTGAAACACTGTTACATATAATTAGAATTAGAAATGTTTATAGCATTGATTTTGAGTCATTTGCAAAGCTGCGATTTTGTAAATATGCTTTTAATGGTGTGCCTTATATTTACACTAGCGAATTTGCGAGTGTTAGTGAGTTAGTGTATTAGTGCGAAACTTTTTTTTCTAACCTAAATCGCTAATAAAAGAGTTCAATAAAAGTTTTCACTGATTCGACTTATGCTATAATCACGATCTGTAGCATTGAAAAGTTCATAGCATCTGTGCTTTATTTGTGGCCACTGTTTGCGATTTATCAAGCGTCCATGGCTGACTGGTTACAATGTGAGACTCATCATATCTAGGTCGCAGTGTCGAATTCAACACGTAGCCGAATTTTTAATAATTCGGGGCTTATTTCTACTTTTTTTCTATTGCATTTTATAGAGCTACTTTTTGTCGTGTTCTCGCAAGTGTTTGCGAAGCGCAGCTTCGCCTCTTTGTAAAATTAAGAAGGAAGCAGCCCAAACACAATACAGCAATTTATCATGAAAATATTTTGCAAAGTCCTTGCAAAATTATTTAACTGATTATCTTGCTTATATGTTTTAACCTCTCAGCTATATAATACTGCAAGTGTGAAAGAGTAGATTGATAAAATGTTTGGTGTATGAATTTCAGGCATATTTGAAATATCCTGTGTTTGTTCCGACTTGAGGTGTTTTTTATTCAAACTTGGGGTGTTTTTTTTATACGACATTTATGCGTTACTAAATCCATACATAGAATTTTTAAGGCTAGCACTTTGTCTAACATAATCACTGAATCATTTGATTTCTTGACTAACAAGGTATTGAAATTCAGCTTCTTTTTGTGCACGTTTGGCTGGGCAACGTCCATTCCTGGGACGAAAAAGGTTTGAGAATTCGGAAGTTTCCACTTGAAAGTAAAAATAAATATCACCGTATCTCTGCTTATTCTTGGTAGGCTTAGTTTTTACAGCGCATTCTTTACTTGTTATTTAAACATTCAAATTTCAAATATTTGATAGACGGTTAAACCGCGAATTTCTCGAAAATTATATTTTGGCTCTTCATTTTCCATGAACCGAGAAAGTCAAGAATGAAGTATTTGCCTGAATTGTTTGCACTTACCAAATTCAAATCTTTTGATCAAAAATTTTCATCTGATAGCAAAAATTTAGATAAAAAAATCAGATTTTTGCTGTTTTTCGCCAATGAATGTTTCGATCAAATGCAGATTGTCGAATGAGCTTTTATGAAAGAACGCGTTTTGCAGGGGGTCGAATCCCTGAAGGGAGAAGGCGCCCCCCCCCCCCCCCAAATCCGCCCCTGGTATAAGATTCACCTTTTTGATATGTTTAAAAATATAGACAAAATGATATTAGCTTACTATCAACTCGTCTCTTTTCGCTCATATTTGGATTGTAATGTAGACCCCTAACAGCTGCGAATCTATCATTTTCATCGATCTTTCATTCATTATTATCTCTGACAGACAATTAGTAATCGATGTTGTCTTTTCAAATCCGTCTCAAAACGTGTCAATTCATTATAGGAGCAAAAAACTACAATTAAGTCCGTCATTGTTGTATTGTATATACGATTTACAACGTTAAGTGAAAGAATTAAAACCAAGCATATTAATTGCTTGGATCATTAAATTTTAACTAAAAATGAGAAAATTTAAGTGCTCAGTTGAAAACCATTTTTGCTACTTGGTTATATTTTATACTCTGTTGAAATCTTTGCGAGTAAAAACAGCAAAACGTGCTTTTTAATTTGTTTATTTTCTCGTTTGTGAATTGAATACTTGCTCTGTTTTTACTAAATGGTAATTTAAACTTTTTCAACGACTTGGTGCAATTTGGTTTGGTAATTAATGAAGCTTTTACCTTATTAGTAATTTACAATCTCACGTCACAGCGTCCAAAATTAGATTGTGTTGTTTAGTTTGAAACGACAATTATTTATCATGCGTCCAGATCATGTTTCAATGATTTTCAATCGAGTTTTAACCAATTCAATCTTCGTAAATATTGAAATTTTGAAACAAGTTGAAAAAATTTCGGACAGATTGCAACATTTTGGACAAAAAAAAACAATTAAAAATTTAGGAAAAACTGTAATAATTTAGAAAAAAAACAGGTCGAAAAAGGAATTTTTGAAAAATGTAGAGCGCGCTCCCCTCTTAAAATTAGTATATATTGGCACTGAAGGCGCATTTAGAAAAATTTTAGAGTCCGTCACCAAAAACGGATATCTCAAAACAGTACTAAGGGGGGACCCTTTGGGTCGGCAGGGGGTCGAATCCCTGAAGGGAGAAGGCGGCCGCCCCCCCCCCTAAATCCGCCCCTGGTATAACCCAACGATGCTGTATGGCTTCTCACTTAGAAAAAAACAGCGATTTCAAATAAAGACCATTTATGCAAAAGGGAAGCAAAAAACATAAAAGCTGATCAGCTTTTTACAGCATACAAAGTTGCTATCCTAATTAAGACCGATGAAGTTTTTTCATTGTTTTTTTTGTATTGTGTAATGTTGCCTCACCCTCAACAAATCCTCAAGCATTGCCAACAGTGGGTCTCGAACTTTCAATCTGTTGCTTGTAAAGTGGAGGTACTAGCTTCTTGCGCTTCGCTTTTCTCATTCGATTTCTTCATTTATGGCGTGGCGTGGTCATGTTAAAAACGTTAACTTTGGAACATTATTTTCTTGTGTTGAAACAACTGAAATCTCAGAAAAGGCATGAAGAAAAAACTGAAAAAGTAACAGCGATGAAATGTCGTCATATGTCTTTAGATCATTCAAATAAGTTTTTGGTTTTTGACAAAAATAGGAGTGGCGGTTAATTTTCTTAAATTATTTGAAGAGAACTAAACGCAAGCTGCCGACGATGCTTAAAATTTTGACGTCTTTTTTGACATTTGAAAAACGAATTTATTAACTATAAAAACTCTAAGGAACAAGTCATTTCTATCCATTTGACTGTAAATAAATAATTAAAAGATTTTATCAGACGCTAATTTCCAATTAAGTATATAGAAGAGATTGAATTGAGGTCAGCCACCTATGCATGACTTTCAAAAAAAGTTTTCTGCTGTAAAAAATATTAATCGCTTGAAAGAAAACGTAAATTTTGGGCTACGGACGCAAAAAAATAATAGATTGTAAGAATTCTTTTGATCTAAAAATTCATTTGAAAAATAGTCTTGAATTTTTTGAATTGCCAAAATGTTAGTCAGTTTTTATTTTTGATGCCATTTGTTAGGTGGGTCATTTTTGCATGATGTTTTTATGATGTGTGAACAATCTTTTCTCCGTCGAAGCGTTTCAATAGTTTCTTTTAGTAATCGTTTTCAATCAGTGGTGTTGAATATTGAAATTTGCCAAAAAATAACGGCAAGAAAATATGATCAAATCAAATTATGAAGAACTATGTTTGAGAACGTACATTGAAAAGGTTGTGTGCCTTTTTAAAAAGTTTTATCCGCTAGAGAAAGGGCGAACATACGAGTTCTTTCTTAAATTAAGTCCTATATGCATTTTTTTGTCTATTTTTCTAGGCTGGGAAATTTTTTCTAAGCTCAATGAAAAGTCACGGCTCATTATGAACCTTAAACTACCGAATTTTTGACTGAGAAACAGAAAACGTATCCTTTTGTCCCTCGTTCCCATATTCTTCATGTCTGGTCCCAAAAACTGCACACCCTTAAATAAGTCACTTAAGGGCCCCACAACAATTGCGATCAAATGACCAATTGAAACATGAGTATTGTGAACTGTGACTGCCTGAAACGTCAAACAGACGGATCCATTCTCATTTTTTTGATTAATTTAATATCAATTATGAGCATTGTTTTGTTTTCAGGCTCTTACAGGGTGAAATTTGTGCTAGACAGCAATTTGGGCGGGGCAGGTCTACCAGACGAAAAAGCACTGCAAGCAATCCAGAAATATGTAAGTTTTTTGAAGTATGTAAAAACGAAGACAAAAAACGTTTGTTGTCATTTCATAACCTAAATGAGTTTATTAAAAACGTGCAATTGAATTTCTTTGCAAAGTATTGGTAACCAAAAGAATCAACATATATTTATTCACAAATTACAAAATTGTGCTTTAAAAGGCTTGAATATCAGATTTTTTTTACTTTCTATTAAAGGTAGGAATAATTGGCTGTGATGTGTCGTTAGTTTCGTAATTCGCTTATTTCAGCTTTCGACTTTACGGCCAAAAGGCAATTTCGTCAGTGATCCGTTTTATGCGACTAGAGACAGGCTGAAGGACACTGTGACAGTGTATGGTCTGTTGCAACTGCCCGAAAATGCTCCATTAACCGACTACCAGGTGGAAGCTAGGCGCAGCAATCTCTACTTCTATGAAATCAGTCAGTAGCTTTTTTTTCTTTTAGGGCAATTTTTTATTATTGTTAATTACCGCAACGATTGTTTTTAATTTTTGCTCATTTTTAGTATTTACACTTTCGAGCTTGTGAGCATTAGTATATTAGAATGAACCTTCTTTTTTTTCCTAACCTAACTCGCAAATAAAAGCGTTCATTAAAAGAGTTCACGTATTTGGCGACCCTGTTGCTATAATCACTATCTGTAGCGTTGGAAGTTGCATGGAATTTGTTCTCTGCTTTATTTGTGGCTAATGTTAGTTGTTTAATAAGCGTCCGCGGCTGAGTGGCTAGTGCGTGAGACGCATGATATTTAGGTTGCAGATCGAATCTGAGACGTAGCCGAATTTTTACCAATTCGAAGCTTATTTCTTATTTGTTACTGCACTTTATAGAGCTGCTTTTTGTCGTGTTCTCGCTAATGTTTGCGAAGCATAGCCTCGCTCTGTGTGAAAATTACGGCAATTCAGATTTTTAAACTTATGCTTATTTTTTTCGCTATTGTTTATTAAGGCGACCCGGGTTCCTAATGAAAGTTTGACAGTTGTTTTCTGAGGGTACGGCCAAATTCAGGCTACTGGTAAAATTTATGCAAGTGTATTGCAATCGGGTAACAACACTTCGTGACAACTTAGTTCACAATACTAATCTCTCAGGAAGGGGCCTCTATTGTAACGGAATTTAAGGCAACAGATGTGATGTGTTTTGAGCAATTTTGCAATTAAGTACTAGTTCTTTTCAAAAACTTTTTTTGTGTTGGTTAAACGATTTCTTCCTCAATTTTTGTATAGTTTCCCTGTTTTCTAAATTTTTTCATTTGAAGGTTTATTCGTTTTAAAATGTTTCGCATTGTTTCATGTCAGCTGTATAGTCTCATAATGCGTCATTTGTTGGAGAAATGTATATGTTCATGGTAATGAAGAGTTGTAAACTTAGAGTTTCATACTTTTTCTGCTCAGGTTTTTAGTAAATATATATTTTTTGCTGGTGCAAGGATCTTCTACCCGAGTGCCGTCGGTTTAGTAACCGCTTTGCAAATTTAAGTTTAATGCATGATTAAGCTTGAAAATTGTTCTTTGCGACAGTGTTTACCAAAATGATTTCAATTGCGACAAATTGTAGTCTGAAAATTTTAGTAGCCTTAGTTTTTTCATCATTTTTTCCTTTTTTTCTTCCTTATCTTTTGCCGACTAGCTTGGAATGCTATGTTTGTAATATATAAAAAGTATCGCAAAAATCTGCTTTGCCTCCATGCTGAAATTATTTATCTAAGTTTTGTTGAAAAATTTGATCTGTTGTATTTAGTTTTTTTTTCTAAAAAAAAAACATTTTTGTAGTTTCGAGAAAAATTCATTTCAAAATTCTTGTGTTTTGCTTCGGGAGAATATTTAGTATTAAATGTTTTTTTGTGTGTCGAGAAAAACTGGTTTTCTAGGAAATTGTTGCCGGTTGTCGCTGAGGAATCTTCGATCTGGATTGTTGTTGTTTGACGCAAAAACAAGTTCAAAACTAGAGTACGGCAGATAAACTCGGTTGAGGTTTTATGCTCATCCTTTTTTCAGTCGTAATGCAAGCTGCAGCAAAAAATTTTGAGAAATGCTTTCGCAATTGCGAGAGAATACATCTGAGATTTTTGCTGTATATTCAATTTGGGCAGTGTTTTCCTCTCTTGAGCTTCCCCCGTCCCATGTGCTACTGCGTCATTTGGATCCAAAGCTTTTGCCATATCGGTTTTCGAGCTTATAGTTTTAGACACATGAAATATGGCTCTATAACTATAATCTCGAATACTGATATAGCAAAATTGTTTAATAAGCAATTTACAAATGCTAGGAATCATGCCTCCGACAAGTTTTTCAAGAGAACTATACGCAAAGTTGCCAATTTTTCCCTTTTTGGTAGCCCAATTTTCTCCCCCGAATAAACAAGCCATTGCGGATAGCAAACCCTCACGAACACTCGGTCGGGATGGCTTTTGTAATTTCCACCTCAAACACCTCGGACCTCTTGCACCTGGTTACTTGACTAATTTATGTAGCCTTTCGCTGTCTGACAATAATATCCTTCAGTTTTGGAAAAATTCAAAAGTAAACTCCCTGCCCAAACCTGAAAAGGACTATAAAATTGCGACATTGTACAGGCCTTTTTCACTGATAAAATGCGCCCGCTGTCAAAGTTTTAGAGAGACTCATCCATGCCTTTTTAACAAAGCACCTCCCAAATACCGCACACCAACTTGGGTTCCGCCCAATCCACTTTACCACAACCGCACTCTCCACCTCTGATTTTTTTTATCACTTATGGTTTCAATCAAAACCGCTCTCATTTACGTACTGTTCTCGCCACACTTCAGATTTCTAGGGCATTTGATATTTTATGTCATAGAGAACCTTTGGAACACCTTCATGACACAGCGCTGTCAATAGGTTTAATTCCCTGGCTCAGCAATCATTTATATGACCGACAAGCCACCACTATTTTTAAAAATCAGGTATTCTTCCATAGAATTGTTGACTGATGTGAATTTCCCAGGGCTGTTTTATCACCGATTTTTTTTTCTTTTCACGTCCATGATGCCCCGCTGCCTCCTGAAAATGTTCGCCTCTCCTCGTACACAGATAATTTCTACGCTTTTGCTCAAAGCCTCGACGTTGAGGCAGCATCGCACTCACTAAATGGTTATCTGCACCACTTAAAAAAAATTCACCTCCCGTTAGCTAGCCTTTGCGTCCTCTACAGGATCATGCACGTACCTTGCTTTCGTCTCACAGCAACACCAAAAGTTTTGACGAAACACCAAATGAATTTTTCAACGACGGGCCTCTCCCTTTTAATAAAAATCCAACAATTTCAGGGGTTACTTTTGACCTGACCCCATGCTTTGCAGCTCACTGCGAGAAATCTGCTGACGAGGCTCGCTGCAGGCTAGGCGTCCTGAAGGCGTTAGCAGGTTCCTCTTGGGTTAAGTCTAAAGAAACCTTCATTTTATCTCACATAGCTCTAATTCACCCTATTTTGCCTCCCTGGCCTGGGCGAGCGCTGCCAGCAAACTTTCATTAGTTACCTGCAGGTCACCCAAAACCAAGCCATCTGTGAAATTACTGGCTCAAATCTTATGAGCTCCACTGCCCACCTGCTCAGGGAAGCTTCTCAGCTTTTAATCTCCACTTACCACTCGCATCACATAACGCTCGCATCTCCACATACCGCTACGAATTTTATCATTCAATTTATCATACCCCAACCCCACGACAAGTTCGACAAACCATAAGTGCTTTTAAACATGACACAGACTCCCTCTTTACCTAAAAAATTCCGTCACTAAATCTTATTGACTGACAAGAAGTTTCAATTTGCGTTTTAATCTACCACATGTCCCTTCTAAACAAAATAAAACAAACCCTGTAACCAAGTTCCTAGCAGAAACTCTTCTTCAACTGTCATTTGCTTTCAGGTTTACCAAGTGGTCTCTATTATAGTGACCGGTCATTATTGGTCTCTAAAAGCTCTCTATTTTTTACCGGTCACTATTTTTATTTCTAGTCAAGAGCTCATTAAAACTCCTGGGGTCACCTCTTTGAACTATTTTGAGATATCCATTTTGGGCTCACGAACCCCAAAATTTTTATAAAAGCGCTTTTGGCGCCAGTTTTTATCAGATTTTAAGGGGGGAGCATTTGCCCAAACCAGGGTCTTTTTAACTCTTTGGCAGCTTGTTTTTTGTTAATTTTGAGATGATTTCGCTAGACTTTGATCAAGTCACTACTTTTTCGGCGACCAGTTGGTAACCCTGTTTGCTTTCCATGTCCAAAGATTGATCCCTCTGAATAGTCCCTTCACAGAACTACCCGCTGATAGCTTTTCTAACTTCCGTCTGGCTACAGTCGACTTCTAAACCCGAACCTCGACCGCTTAGACAACCAATTTTGTCCTACCTGTCTCTTGTCACCTCACACTAGTTGCCATATTTTTGATGTTCAAAATTACCCTGAAGTTCCGCAGTTTTTTATCATCTCTAATTATTGTTATGCTAATCGAGCGAGCAGAAAGTTGTCTTGAACATAGAATTTGCATGAAGTTTTATTTTTTTAATGCAAACGGCCATTTTTGCGTTGAAATTGCCGTGTTTTGAATTGGAGCTTTTAAAAACTAGCAAGTTAGCTAATAATTGGGTTCAAATTTTATGCGGGAGTCCCGAAAGTCTTTTTTACCCCAGAGTAAGAGTGACAATTCCATCGCGAGGCTCAATTTGAAGCCGTGCACACCCCCAGCAAAAACATTTAAATGCTGGGAAAGCAAAATTTCTAAAAACTGAAAATTATACATTTTTTATTATTTTATCTTTTTGAAAAGTACATGTAATCAAAGCCTACTGTGCTACATGCACAGGAACCGGATACTTCTGGTGGGCTCGAATATTGTCGCTCTTTATGACAACGCATAATCAATTTGAATATAATTGTTAGATTTTTCCTTTTTTGAATAATAGTAATTATTTGGGGAGATATATTCCATACCTTTCCGCATTTTATCTCCCAAAAGCTCGAAACATTTAAAGATTTATTGGAAAAAATATCGAAGGTATCGAGAATTTTTCGATTTTTTTTTACTTTTTTTTATTTTTTGGTCGGTGAAAATCTGTGCTACTTCTTTTTTTTGACGAAGATTCTAGTTCTTGTTCTTCTCGGAAAATTGTACTTCTCGTCCATATATGGGTTCAATGTTTGGCAAATTGCTTTAAAACGGGTTGGTTGAGTGAGATAGGGTTGAGCTAAATAGATTTTAAAGCGTTCTGATTAAGTAAAGAGTTGATCTTATTTCTAAATTTGCTCTCCAGAACCCAAGCATACTTGTTAACTCGGATTATTTCCAATTTCTATGTAAAACTAGCTTCTAAATATGGTAAAAACTAAAGCATGGCAGTTCATTTGATAGCGAAGGTTCAAATTTGAACTGTTTAATAACATTTTTAACTGTTTGAAGTC